TGTTCCCAAAGCCCTTGTGCAGCTGTGAAGAAGACCTAAAAGTGCACAGTAAGAAAATGTTTCTCCTTGTGGTTCCTCTCGCCCACAGCTGATGCCCTTTCTGTGGGCCAGCCACTGGGATAAATATTCCTACTTGATGGGTCCATACAGCAGGATTTTAAAATGCACAGGTCACCATTACCCACTTGCGTACATTAGACTCCATTCCCTGTGCATCTTAGAGCAAACCCCTTTTATCAACTTGTATTACTAGAAAAAGATAATTTCCCTTGAAAAGTCATGTTGCATATAGAAAACTTCTCAAAAATATGAAAAAGTTACAATAAAATTTAGTGACCACTAACTTGTTTTGGAAAATCAATATAAAATGCTTTGGGGTAAGGCTTATGATGTTTTTTTGAAAAAACACCACCAAAATTTTACAGGAAATCATGCATCATTTCATTCTCCCACTGGCTCCCAGGATCCTATATTTCCTAGCAAAAAAAATTCCTTAAAATAACTTTAAAGTCTTTGACTAATTTACTAGATAAATCTACTGTGTATAAAATGGCAGCTTTATGAAGATGACGATTTAATCTCTAGGCCCCAGTGGGGCCTGTAACTTTGAGCTTTGCTATAAATTATGGCATCCACTGTAATTCTGTATCATGAACATGATGGGAACATATTTTTCTGAACTTCTAAACTGGAACAGAACTAATTGCCTAAAGTATTTTCTTAAGGTTTCTAACCAATTATTTCTTAATATATAGGACATAAAATTATTTTTACATGCTATGTCATTTTATACAGACATACATATTGAAAATAAAAAACCAAACTTTGCCACTGATGTTTGATAAAGGATGAGCTTGGAAAGAAAAATTTTAAATATCAAATATTTGAAACCTCCCGTCATTAAAATTTGTAAGTCAAAAAAATAAGCTGTAAAGGAAAATATGAACAAAGCATGACCTGAGTTTAAAAATGGCACATCATTTGCTGGATGACAGCTAATCTAATTCTGGATTAGTCAAGACAAACTAATTTTGACGTTTAACTCCATCAATAACGGAAGAGTGAGCATTAGTGCATCATCAAAAATAATATGCTTTGGGGCCGGCCCCGTGGCTTATCGGTTAAGTGCGCATGCTCTGCTACTGGCGGCCTGGGGTTCAGCTCCCGCGTGCGCACCGACACACCACTTGTCAGGCCATGCTGAGGCGGCGTCCCACATACAGCAACGAGAAGGATGTGCAACTATGACATACAACTATCTACTGGAGCTTTGGGGAGAAAAAGGGAAAAAAAGGAGGAGGATTGGCAATAGATGTTGGCTCAGGGCCGGTCTTCCTCAGCAAAATGAGAGGAGGATTGGCGTGGATGTTAGCTCAGGGCTGAACTTCCTCACACACACACAAAAATAATAATAGGCTTTGTTAATATTGCAAAGCTATGGAAAAAAATAGAAAGAAAAAGAATAGCAGTCCCAGGTGGAAACAAAAGCAACAGAGAGAGCTTGCTTTATTTTGGCATATTTTTAGTTAATGGCACACATAGAATAAAAAATTTTAAAATGATGTTTAGGATAAATCAGATGATGAAATTTCTTTACTCTGGGAAACATTTGGGGCACTTTTAATAAGGAAGAAACTGTCTTCTATTTCACAGGTCTAAGAAGTGCTTTCCTCTTTGCAATTATGGGTTTTGCTGTCTCCTGGGAGAGGCAAGGAAGGCAGCACAGCCCATTTGAGGTCCCAATATTTCTTCTGTATTGTCCGATTTACAGCAATAGCACCTATGAGTGACTGCTGCCTATTTCATTTTGTAGGATTTCTCCAAACTCTTTTGAGGATATGGTCACAGTTCATTACATTTTACCCTCGACATTGAGAATTGGGAGTGTTACCCATAGGTATGGGGTGGAGTGAGGACATCCATCCCCCAGAGATGACCTTGCCAACTCTTGCCACCTGCTGCTTGAGCTTGATCTTCTCATGGTTCCCTGTAGGATTCAGTCCCACTTACCTAGCCAACCCCATATGGTTGGATCATGTCTTCATACGTATCCTATGGTCCCCACAGGAAATCTCTCACCATTACTGGAACATGCCTCTCTTTTACCCCCAAGCTGTTCCCAGAATGTTCTTCTCCACCTGTCTGATTGGCAAACTTCTACTCATGCTTCCAGACCCAAGTCCTGCCAGCTCCTCAGTGACACCTTCTCCAACTGCCCCAGGGAAAACTGACTGCTCCTCTGGGCTGCCACTTTGCTTCACTCACCTGTAACCCCGCACACATGATACGGTACAGCACGTCTCCACACACTGAGTCCCCCTGCGAACCTGGGTCATTTTCTCGCCCAGCGCTAACAGTGCCTGCTAAAAGTGCTTCATAAATGTCTGTTCTGCAAATTAGAGACTGAAAAAGGACAGACTGCATGCAGGTCTAAACTTCTATAATATTGGAAAAGATTTTGAAAATAATTCATTTAAAATATTCCCAACTCATTTCCATACCATAAATGTTTCTGAAATTTAAGGCAGCCTGAGTTTGAATTACAGCATTCGCAATTGAAAGTTAATTGTTTATATCGTAACTCATATTTCATATTAGAATTTTAATTATTTTTAAGCAGTGAATTCAATTTTCGAAATGCACCCCCACCCCCAGAGTGTTTCTTTTGAGTTTCTGTGTAATCATTTCAGGGATGTTATATTTTGTTGAGTGGAAATTCTGCCAGATTCTTATTCCAACATTGATTCAGGTCCTGTGTGTGTGTGTGTGAGTGTGTGTGGGTGTGTTATGAGGTGGGGGCTATGAAGACAATGAGAGGAAATATAGAATGTAGACAAGAGGTACACCCAAAGGGTAAGGTGCTGGGAGGGGAGGCTAGGGTGCATATTCCTTTCAGGTTGACCAATCCACTCTGCACTGTCATCTCCAGACATCTCCACCTCGTGTACCTCACACAGAAGTTACAGAGAGAGGGTTTCTCTCTCATCCTCTGTTCCCCTTTGTTTTCTAGTAAGGTGACATGACTACAAAGATATACACTAATTAGAAGGGTGGGCTTGCTAAATACTGGAGCAGTAATAGTTTAATCTGTGTCTACAGTCTCTTAATCCAGTATTTTGTGTGTGTGTGTGTGAGGAGGAGCAGCCCTGAGCTAACATCCAATGCCAATCCTCCTCCTCTTTTTTTTTCTTTTTTTGCTGAGGAAGACTGGCCCTGGGCTAACATCCATGCCCGTCTTCCTCTACTTTATATGGGACGCCGCCACAGCATGGCTTAACAAGTGGTGCGTCGGTGCGCGCCTGGGATCCAAACTGGCGAACCCCGGGCCGCTGCAGTGGAGTGCGCGCACTTAACCGCTTGCACCACCGGGCCAGCCCCAGTCCAGTATTTTTTAACACAATGCTCTAAACAACAGTACCACAATTATTCTCTATTAAATGTGGTGCTGTTGATGACTCCTCTTAGTGACTACACTGTCCAGGACAAATACCAACACTTGCAGGCTACAAATGGTAGACTGTTGCTCTGACAGCAGATTTGCATCCCTGGTGTCTCTGTCTATGAAATAATCTGCCTTCCTATCCTAGGCGGCAGGATTCTGAGACAGAGACCAGGTTTATAGGCCTGACCTCCACCCCTCAGTGCCTGACCGAGGATTGTGCTCATGTGACGTTAGATTAAAACAAACAACATTTGGAATAAATGTGTAATACTCTCACTTCCTAGATCTGCCCCTAGTGGTTGAATTTTCCTTCTTTGATGACTTCCTGATTCATTCTTCACATTTCTGCAGACTGCCACAACCTTAACTCACTTGTGACAGTTTTTTAACTGGGAAATATTATTTCAAGTATTGGTAGAATTTGCTATGTAGGAATCACAATGCTACCTGTACACATTAACGATTCTATTATTAATCTAAGTTCATTTTTAGAAAAGAGAATGTAAAGCATTTTATTTCATATGCTTTTAAGTCTAATCATCAAACACTTCAAATGACCTACATGTTCGACTCATGTTTCTAAGGAAAGCATGACCACCTGCCTCCTCAGCTATTCTGTCATTGCCCATTAAAATGTGCCATTTACCTCCATTAGGAGGATTAAAAAGGTGGAAAATCCCCAGGTACCACTAGTTAGCAACCTGTTCCCGGGGAGTCAATAGCCTCATTTTTCTTTTCCTCTTTTCATTTAAAAAACACTTATCTAGTGAAAGAGAAACACTTCTTGCTGCTGGTGAATACATTTCCCAGGACTTCATTAAATCAAGTAACAGGATCAGTGTTTAAATGATCAAGTAGGTATATAAGCTTTTACAAAAAGAAAATCTAATTAAGATGGTGCTTATAGAAATCAAGATACTAATAATTAACCAAAATAACTGTGATAGGTCTATGAGAGGGCTATGCAAATGTGAGGCAGCTTTATTATTACACATGCAATGATGCCACGTTTTGGTGAGCTTTTAGGGTTATAAGTATGCAGAATGCCCTGCCTATGTAGTATGTTCTAGAGTAACACTATTTTATTCCACTCATCATTATCTTTTTATAAGCTCTCTATACTGTTTTGGAAATAAGAAAACAAGCCATAATTCCTAGAGCTTGCATTCCTGGTGACAAGTTATTTCATCCCAGCAAAAAAGTCATGCTCAAGTTTGCCAACCAGCAGGAGGCACGAGGAGGGCCAGTGCAGAACACCACAGAAGCACCTCTATGCTGCGTAACATCAGCGGCACTTTGGAATGGCCCACAGCATTCTAAACTCTTCCCCATTGATAGCATGTCTCAAAAATTACACATGGAGCAAAAAGTTTGATAAAAATATATTTAAAACAAGCAAGAAAAAATAGTTTTGGCCTTAAGGATAACTTTCATCATTCTTTTAACCAAGTAGAGTTAAATTATATGTATAATGATTTCAAGTACCAAGTTATAAAAGATGTGATAAATCAGAAAGCAAAGAACAAGAGTCTTTTTTTTCAGAAAAATGTATTTGCAATTCAAATGTTCATATAAAAAGCATAAATTTTAAAAAGTTCATAGATGTGTGTTTTTAGAAGTGCTATGGTTTTGCAATTACATTCCAAATGTGCAGGGTGGTCCACGCTGTGCCATCACAGACTTTTGTCACACTGAGGTCACCCTCATCACAACCTCCCCCGAGCTGTTATCTTCTGACAAATCTTCATGGGGCCTCATCCGATTGAACAGATGTAATAACACGTAGCCACATTGAAACCTTGGGGAGGTTAACTGCGTTGGGTGGACCAAGTTCCTATTCCGCAGAGCTGTCAATGGCAACCATAAAGTCCTACTTGTGGAAGATTCTCCCCGGCTACTTTCCTCAATGTCTGTGGCTTTGTCATAATTTAATACATCCCAGTGTAAGTTAACAGCTCGCCAGCGCTTAAACACTCTATAAACTGCAGCTCCTTCATGGACGATGAGACCTAAAATTTGAGAAAGAAAGGACTCTTTAGAATCAAAAGTTAAAAATATTATTTTGTATACAAATGAGGGATTAAAGAAATAGTCAATTCTCTGTACATCATTACTAAAATATATGATATTCTGACTACTCAAATTTGAGTACTCATTCAATTCAATGTATATTTCAAGTGCCTGCTGTGAGCCAAGCAATGTGTTAGGGGCTTGGTCCCAGCAGGCAACTTAATTTGGGAAAGAGACAGATATTAAAGTCATGGCCATCTCCCCAGTTCCTAAAACAATGCCTGACACACAGGAGGTATGATGTAACTTTTTGTTATTTTTACTCTCCTCCACAGTTCAACAAAAATTTAATAAGCACCTACTTGAGAGCTTTACGTATATAATCTCTTCTAGTTCCCACCACAGCCTCGTGAAATAAATACGAGCATGACCCCCATTTTACAAACAAGGAACTTGCTCAAGAGCAGACAACCAGTGGTGGTGAAGCATGGATTCAGAGCCAGGCAGGCTGGCTCCAGAGGCCTTGCTCTTCGCTGCCATACAATGAATTTGACGACTGCACATTTCTGAGACAGACTCTCAGGAAAATAAACAAGGTAATACAAGGACCTCAGGGACCATAAACTGACCGTCCATAAGTCAGATATGGCGCCCTGATACATGGCTCCATCTCCACCATCCACCCCAGATCCCACTACAGGCTGCATTTTTCACCCATTTACATCTCAATATGTAGTCCACAAGCTTCTGAATTTGTGACCACCCACAGATGGAGTCTCTGGGGAGAGGTCCCTTCAGACCAAGAAGTGAGGAGGAGCTCTTCTCCTTCAGGAGGTTGAAATTCTATTGAAAGGCAGTGGAGAGGCCAATGAAGAGTCTTTTTTAGATGGAATACGGCACGTAAGTAGAGTGTGTCAATCGGCCACAACCACTTTTTAATGATAAATCTGAAAATGAGCAGATCCTACCTCCCAGCATCTAGACCTTGGGACATAGAGAAATTCTCACAAATGTGAACAAGACGTCGTGTTCAAAAGTGTTTCTTGCTTGGGGCCGGCCCTGTGGCCTAGTGGTTAAGTTTGGTGAGCTCCACTTCGGTGGCCTGGGTTTGGTTCCCAGGCATGGACCTACACCACCCATCGGTGGCCATGCTGTGGTGGTGACCCACATACAAAATAGAGGAAGACTGGCACAGATGTGAGCTCAGGGTGAATCTTCCTCAAGCAAAAGAGAAAAAAAGCGGAAGACTGGCAACAGATGTTAGCTCAGGGAGACTCTTCCTCAACAACAACAACAAAAAAGTGTTTATTACATAGTTGTTTGTATTTGAGAAAGAAATCACAAACAATCTCAATGTCCATCCTGAAAAGAATGGGTAAATTGTAGTGTGTGGATCCACTACATTCAGCAATGAAACAGAAGGGAAAAAAGTCACATGTGCTAACATGGATAAATGTTAAAACAATAGTGGAAATCTCAAAGCCACGTGAAAAAAAAATGAAAGTTTCAGAAAGAAATGATTAGGGTGAAGAAATACTACACATTTTTATGGATTCAGGTATATAAGGTAAAAGTACAAAAACATGCACAAAAATAATAACCTTTAAATTCACGATAGTGGGGAGGGAAGGAAAGAAATGAGATTGGGGAGGGGCTTCAAAGAGGGTTTTCAACTGTATCTCTAATGTCACTTTTTTAAAGCTGGGTGGTGGAGATATGGATGTTCAACATATTCTGTATACTTTTGGTGTGCCTGAATAATTTATAATTTCAAAAATCACAGATAATTTATTAGGAAAATTGATCTAAGATGGACTGAAGAATCGACAACCGAAGTAGGGGAGACAAATAAGGAGGTTACCACACTATATGTGAGAAGTAGAGCAACGGCAGTGAGGGGAAGATGGAGGGACAAAGTAATAAACTTGTCAGAGGAAAAGTTGACAGCAGTTGGAATGCAAGAAAGGGAAAAAATCAGTATCCCACGTTTTTAAGGTTAGAGGAATGGGATTGAAAGGACGGCAATAACCTTCTTACAGGTACAATGAGTAAGGGTTTTGAACATGTTTTTGTTGAGGAGATTATTTCATTTTTATTTCATTTTTTTTTGTCAGCTAAAACAATGCCAGATAGGTGATGGAGATATCCAGTTCTTGAAAATCACACCTACCTAATATGAGACTTTAAGTTTTATATCACTCCCTTACCAGGCGATAAACTTCTGACACATGTGACTTAAGAGCATTCCAAAGATATTAACACAAGCCGTTAAAAAAAATGCATGTGGTCTAAAAAAAAAGTTTTAAGCCTAATTCTTCTATAAATAATGAGGAAAAATGTAAAATTCTGTTAATCATAGCAATGTCAAATAATTGTTTTGATCAACTTCTTTTTCCTAAGCAATAATTAGAGTTGACTCAACTGAGCAGATGTTTTTGGAAAACAGCCAGAATTAGAAATCAAGACTACCAGATTTTACTTGATGATTCTATTATTAGCTTCCTGAAATTTCGATGGCCAATGATTTAACTTTTCTGGTTCTATTTCTCCTCCCTAAAGTGCAACTGGAATACCTAATCTATACATTCAGCAGGATAGCAAGAAGATAAACTGGAATTCATCAACTATAAAGCACTCAGATTTCCTCAGAGATGGTAACTATATAAACAGGAGACATTAATTAAAAAATCAATAGTGAATCTATGTGGTGAGGACCATTCATTCGCACTGATCACAAAACCATTACAGCCTGCAACAGGTCATTCTGGATAAGCGCAGCAACGAGGGGACAGCTTCACCAGGGGAAACCACGCATTTCAGAGGATCTTATCCTTTTTTTATTGATTTCCTTTGAAAGGCCAGAAATCAGATCAGTTGCTAGAGCTTAAAGTCATTTTCTAGGAATAAATTCCTGGTAGCCCTTTTCTAAATACATAAATCTACCCACTGTGCAGAAATAAATCCCACAGGTATTTATAGTACATTTTGAACTCAATTGAAAGAGAGAGAATTACTTGAAGTTTTCATGGAGACACAGTCCTCTCAAATTTCCAGCTCCATGTACTGCTTCTTAACTGCATTTCAAGTTATGCATGATGTTTAGATTTTGTTTTATTCCCCATGAGCAATCAGAACTACTCCTCGCCCTCTAGAAGCTTCAATTTTACTGAAATATGAGGAACTCCATCTCACCCCCAAGGTTGTCCTCTGTAACATGCATTTCCCCCCTTTTTTCCTTAAATCTTCTGGTGTTATGGCAAATGCCTTTTGTACTAGTGGTTATGAGAGGACATTACTACTATGATTGCTGAAATCCAGGGGTAAGGATTCATTCCACTGTAGTTCATGTGTTGAAAATCCAGCCAGTGAAAATCGTACGCCCATCTTTACTTACTAATGATCAGCTCCTGCTTGTTTCATAACTCACTTCCTCCAGTAGCCTTCACTCTCTGAGTGATACCTCAAGTTAAGCCTTAAAATGAATTTGTCACCTGGACATTTCAGGTCATATGAGAACGGACTTAGATTTACTTCTTCATCTAAGTCATTAAACCTGAAGGGAAAAGCAATGATAATTTCCAAAAGATGTCAATATTAAATATTTTAAGATGCTTGCTACATTATTAATGACAAAGATACTTGCTACATTATTAATGACATAGATGTCAACAAGGTATGATTCATGGGAATTTAGGTTTCGAGAGTTGAGGAGAGTGTGTGTGTGTGTGTGTGTGTGTGTATGTGTGGTTGGTTGGTTTTTATCATTTTCTTGTCAGTAACATTTAATTGGAACATTCCCTTACAGGTGTGTACAGGAACATTTTTGCTAGGGAATAATTTTAAAAAACAAAGCAGTTTTAAATAGTTACTAGTATCATTGAAATAAAAACACACTGTTTATGTAAGTAAAATATATCTCAAATTTTGAAGTGGTGTGCAAGTTGAAACTCTTATAGGTACTAGAAGATAAACAAATTATCCAGAGAAATGATGGGGAAGACTATCAAGGTACATATGTTCACATGCTTACACATGCGTGTGCACACACACAATTTGTTTATGTTAAAATAAACATAGACAAATGTTGTGTTATAATTAACAGAGACGTGTAAAAATTTACTGTCAAATCCAAACAAATTTTGATATTACTACCAATCCTCTGGTCAAACCATTTCATTTCTTGTGTTACCAGTCTCAGCTTTTGTTCAAATAGGTTTGGTCGTTTTTCATAATTTAAAAGCTAAATTTTTATCAAGGATCTATTTTGTACCAAGCACTGTGCTAAGTGCTTTACATGCTCGATTTTCACTTAATCTTAATCACTTAATCACAGCAACTCTACAAATAGATACTATTATTGAACAATTTCATGGTTGAGGAAATTAAGCCCTAGAGATTTAACAACTTGTCCAACATTATGAAGATATGAGAATCAGAGCTGAGTCTGGAGCCCAAAAACTTGTCTGTATGCAAACCTTGAGTACTACAGTCCTACCCATGCTAAATGTCCAACGTATGGCAGTCTCTGCTAGTCATAGAATGACCAACTAAGAGACCTTGCTATGAACCGTGGGTTTGTATCACCCCAAAATTCATATGTTGAAGCCCCAATCCCCAATGTAATGGTATTTGGAGGTGGCGCCTCTGGGAGGAAATTAGGGTTAGATTAAGTCATGAGGGTGGGGCCCTGGTGATAGGATTAATGCGCTTATAAAGAGAGAAAGATACTCGAGGTTTCTCTCTCCCAACCCCTGTGCACACGCTAAGGAAAGGCCATGTGAGGACATAATGAGAAGACAGCCATCTGTAAACCAAGAAGAGAGCTCTCACCAGACACTGAATATGCCAGCACCTTCACCTTGGACTTCCCAGCCTCCAGAACTGTAAGAAATAAATGTTCTTCATTTAAGCCACCCAGTCTGTGGTATTTTGTTATAGCAGTTCAAACAGACTAAGACAAACCTTGTAGACCTACATCACCTTCATTTTAAAATATGAG